TCGCCCTCTCGCCCGCCGTTCACCCACCGTCACCCCTACAATGCCTCTCCCCCCGCCGCACCATCTCCAAGCTTCGATCCGCCCTCAGCCCACCTCAACCTTCACCTCCATTAGATCCACCCTCGCCCTGATCCGATCGCCGCCGAGCTGTCGAGCTGGCGGAGGAGGCGGTGGGTTTGGTGAGCTCGGCGGGTGATGGGGAGGAGGATGGAGAGAGATGAGGAGAAGGGGCTGAGGGAGAGCGTCGGTGATTTATTTGGAAAATCGACCATTTTTTGCACGGGACTGGTAGTCCCGTGCAAAAAATGGTCGATTTTGCCAATTTTTTTGTTAGGCGGTCGGTTTTGCCTATTAAATTTGAAAGAAGGTCGTTTTTAAAATTTTGTCCTCCAAATAAATAAAAAATAAGAGAGAATCATAAAGAAAACTTTTCAAAATTTTACTTCCAAAGAGATCAGATGATAGTAGGTTTTATTGACACAAAGAAAATCTCATGCAATCTGATTTGGGTCTGAAAACTTTAAAGGAGGTTTTATAGGCAAATAAAACTGTATTTATCCCTAACAGAGAAATTCAGAAGTTCGTCTGCAAGAACAATACCAAAAATAGTAAAAAATAGACAAAAACGCAGATATCTCTCAAACCGGAGGGAATTTGGCAAAACGGACGGTGTCAAACCAAACTATATTTGGTTTGGTCGGCCCCGTCTCGTCGAGATAGTCGATTTTCATATATAATTCGTCTAATTCTGACTTACGGTTTGAAAGTTATGACCCGTTCTTCGTAGCAAGTTATGTTCCTCGACGCCTGAACTTCGCCTGCAAGACTTGGGTTCGTCTGAACCAAGCCAAGTCTGCTTGTTCACCTGCATCAAATAGGCCAAGTCAAGCTCGCCTGAATGTTTAACTTCGTAGGTGAAGTGAAGTTCGCCTAATCATTGGACTTCACCTAGAAAAGAACTAAGCTCGCCTGAATGGTTAGTTCGCCAGCTCGCAAAAATGGATATATTCCATTTTAAAAATCCGAAAATAGTTATACCCCATTTTATAATTCCGAAAATGGGTATACCCCATTTTGAAAATACGAAAATGGATATACTCTATTTTAAAATCCTGAAAATGGGTATACTCCATTTTAAAAATACTAAAATGGATATACTCCATTTTAAAATCCCAAAAATGGGTATACTCCATTTTCATATGTAAAGAGAAATTATATTTTTCTGAAAAATCATTTAAAGAATTCTCGTGAGGGTTTTTTTTAAAAAGCATTATTAAGAAATCATTTTTTTTTGACAAATTTTATCTTACAATCTGAACTTGCTTCATAATTTAGGAATAAATCCGAAATTACTACACAATGTCGAATATCAATAATTGCGACGGGTACCAAAAATACAGAATTTAACTAACTATTACAACATAATTGGGGTTTAATTAAAATATGATCAATTAAATAATAATAATAATAATAATAATGACAAATAATAACAGATACGAACTCGAGTGCTGATACAGGATACGAATACGGATGCCGTATACGAATACCATATACGGGAACGATACCGATTCAGAAGATGAACAGGAAAGAAATCAAAATTTGGATATGATGAACAGTAACGTGCCACCTAGCATGGCCAGATCCGAATACGGGGTCTGAAAGGGAAGAATGTGCCAGGAAAATACAGGAAAAAAACCAATACGTATACAAATACCGTACACAAGATACACGGTGTTACAGCGCATCTCCTTGCAGTGAACTTTTCCAAGTGTGCTTTGAAGTAAGCTCTCTTGAACTCCTTGTTGGATAGAAAACGCTCATCGAGAACGACCATCTGCGATGGAGTCTTCTTCTTCCAAATCTGCTTGGAGAAAACCAAGAATTTATGATTAGAATAATCGGTAGTGTGGCGATTTGATCTACTAGATATCATGGTTACACAAATTCTGCTGTCAAAACAGGAATATAATAATATAAAAACAAATTAAAGAGTTAAAAAATTCAGATCTGATCGGGAGCAGTCATGATATCACTGTCCTAGAAGATTAAGGACCCGCCTATCGCCCTAGCGCAATTTGTCCCCTCTCCCCTAGCGGTAAAAACCCCCAGAATCGGCCGGCCTCTGCACTCGGGCGTGAGTCATAGAGCTTATGCTCAGACGAAAACGGTTGCCCAAAAATAGAAAAATATGTAGCCGAAATTTCTTGGAGGAATGAGAGTAGAGAAAGAAGAGAGCTTAGAAGTTCTTCTCTTCGTTGGTGTACTTCTGAATGAGCTCCAAGCCTGCTTATATAGGTGAGGAGAGGTGTAATCCCCGCTGAATCCAAGGGACCGTTATGCACGAATCTTGCTTCCGTTACCCGCATGCAGCCATTACAGAACGTGTAAAACGTGCAAAAATAAAAGCTTGAGAAGCAAAAAGGTGTGCGTGTGCGGCGCACGCGCGTGCGGGCGAGGCGTGGCGTGGCGAGGCGAGGCGTGGCGTGCGCGCGCGCGTGTGGTAGAAATGCAAAGCCCACAAAACCCAAAACACTATTCAAAGCCCAATAAGGAGAGAACCATTATATACCCTTTACTATTCATCTCTTTTTTCCAATGTGGAACTATTCACAAAGGCAAAATTACCTTTTCATGAACAAAGCTTCCAACAGTCCCCCCAAAAGGCAATATTGACTGAAAATTCAAAATAATAAATCAATAAATAAATCACAAAATAAATGTAGGTTGGGCAACCTTTCGTATCGTGAATTCGGGAAAGGTAGCTTTCGGCTTTGAACCTTTCCTTAGTGAGTTCATCGCCACCTGAGGGACATAATGGACTAGGCCTTGAATTAGGCCCCTTGGATCAGGTACTGATAAAAACACACATAATACGTTTTCATCTATTGAGCTAAGCGGGTTGAGCGTTAAAGGTCATGCCCACAAAAAACCGACTCATGAGAGTTTCTAGGGGTCAGTCCTGCCCCCCCAACTGCGGCCATCACGGTTCCTCTCACGTAGGTAAGTCCTCAAAGGGTACTACAGCTATTTATTTAATACCCCCCACAATACACGCGTTTGACTTATTAAGAGTAAAACTCAGCCTAGCCAGCTGTATCATAAGAGCATCATCATCATAGAGAAGGGATAGTAGCAAATGCTACATAATGATATATAAATATATCTAGGTCGATGCTCCACACGAGAGTCACTTGTCCAGCTTGTTTCTACCATATTGAACCGACATTGGGACTACGTCTCCAAATAAGGGTTGGGTTGCCGCTGTCAGTGACCTCATTTATGGGCTTAACCCCATCTCACTCGATGAATCCAGAACCACACTCCTGGATAATCCCTTAGTCAAAGGGTCAGCAAGATTTTTCTCAGACTTTACAAAGTCCAAGATCACAACTTTGCCTAATAGGCGTTGTACAGACTTATATCTTATTTGAATATGTCTGTTATGTTTTTATTTACATGTACTTGCTTTAGAAGCTCGATGGTAGATCTAGAATCAGAGTGAATGGAAATAGGAGGAGAGGGTTTATGGACCAAAGGAAGTTCAGAGAAAAGATCTTTTAACCATTCGGCTTCTGTGCAAGTAGTATCAAGAGCAATCAGCTCAGATTTTATGGTGCTCCTGGCAATTATTATTTGCTTACATGATTTCCACGATACAGCAGCACCACCAAAAAGAAATACATATCCAGATGTAGATACACTGTTGGAATCCGTGACCCAGTTAGCGTCACTATAACCTTCTATAGCATCAGGGTAACCAGTGTAAGTCAAGCAATAGTCAATTGTGCCTTTCAGATATTTGAATACTCTTTCTAAGGCAGTCCAATGATCTTTGCTAGGGTTGCTAGTATACCGACTCAGTCTCCCTACAGCATAAGCTATATCAGGTCTGGTTCGGTTGGATATGTAAAGAAGAGATCCAATCATCTGAGAATATTTCAGCTGGGAGACAGGTTCACCTTCATTCTTCTTCAAGGATATAGAAGAATCATAAGGTGTGGAAACAGATTTAGAGTTATGAAAGTTGAATTTGATTAGCATTTTATCAATGCTATGGGAAAGACTCAAAGATATTCCTCTAGTGTCTCTAGAGATTTTTATTCCAAGTATCATGTCTGCAAGACCTAAGTCTTTCATATCAAAGTTTTTGGAAAGATAATCCTTAACCTTTGAAATTAATTCAAGTGTTGTTCCAAAGATAAGGATATCATCAACATAGAGACAGAGAATGACATAGTCATTGTTTATCACTTTAGAATAGACACATTTATCGTGTTCATTCACAGTGAAGCCATATTGTGCAATGACGTTGTCAAATTTCTGGTGCCATTGTTTAGGAGCTTGTTTAAGACCATACAAAGATTTAACAAGCTTACAGACTTTGTTTTCCTGACCCTTGGCAATTGTAGGCTGTCTAAAATTCACAATAGATAGCTTATCCCCCATCAAACACCGGTGATGGAAGTTACAATCTGACGATTTCCAGAAGGCTGTAATCTGAAGACTTTCGCGTAGATCGCTGAAGGTTACAATCTGACGACCTTCACGATAACTGATGGAAGCTCTAATTCAATAGCCTTCACAATCAACATCGGGAGTTACAATCTGACGACTCTCATATTCTCAAGGAGCCAAGACGAAGATAACAAGACAATGATCTTTGCAACGCTATGACAAAAAGAGATTACTTGGTGATAATCTCTTCAAGACAAGACGTGGAGGTCCTCCCCGTGTGTCAACAGTAAAACGCCAGGGTCGAACCCGCGTTACAACATCAAAACGCCAGGGTCGAAACCCGCGTTACAACATCAAAACGCCAGGGTCGAAACCCGCATTACAACATCAAAACGCCAGGGTCGAACCCCGCGTCACAACATCAAAAAACGCCAAGGTCGACCCTCGCGTCCCCGTGTTACAACATCAAAACGCCAGGGTCGAAACCCGCGTTACAACATCAAAACGCCAGGGTCGAACCCTCGTTACAACATCAAAACGCCAGGGTCGAAACCCGCGTTACAACATCAAAACGCTAGGGTCGAAACCCGCGTTACAACATCAAAACGCCAGGGTCGAAACCCGCGTTACAACATCAAAACGTCAGGGTCGAAACCCGCGTTACAACATCAAAACGTCAGGGTCGAACCCCGCGTCACAACATCAAAAAACGCCAAGGTCGACCCTCACGTTTTTCTACGCCCTGCGGGTACCCAACTCCGCGTCTCCAGTCTAAAATACGGAGTTAGGATCCTGAACGCCAACGTGGGCATTGTTTGACTCATTTAACATGAGCTGAACGGTTCTAAAATCGTTTCCCACGATTTGGGGGCGGTTACACCCCATTATGGAGAGAATTAAGGGGGCGGTTACGCCCCTTAATTCCCTATAAATATGGGTAAACTCAATTGAGTTCAAGGCTGGCTTTTGTTAGAACAGAGAGGCTGGCATTTTCGGATCTGAGAATTGGCAGCGAAAGGTTGGAGTTTCTTAGCTCGGATTGATCTTCTTTTCAGCAGCGAAGAGAAGATCTTTTGGCTTGGCAGCAAGGAGGAGATCGACGTTCATCCTCAGCAACGATCGACCACCGGAGCTTTCTCCTAGCCATTGGCTTATTAACCGATCTTCGGTTCAAGTCAACTCTTTCACAGAGTTATTCTAAACTCGTTCAGAGTTCTCAAACTTGCCATGCAAGTTCTCCATAATGTCAAATCGTGAGGAGAAGATATCGTTCCAGTGAATCAAAACGTCGTATCATCAACGGAGAGCAAACTCGACGCGAGCATTCGAGGGAGGCACTCTATCGCCACCGTGAAGAACCCAGTTTTAAACAAAGGAGAGAACCAAATTCGTTTCTCTTCTCTTTTGTAATCAAGTTGTAATCAGAATCAAAGAAATACAGTTCAATTTTCTTTATTCTCTTCTTTACAATTTTCCCTACGTACAAAAGATGGCGACTCCGCTGGGGACAAGCTTCTCTGACGAAGAAGTGGTGGTGCAATCCGATGTTCATCTCACTGGAATGACCGTTGAAACTCTGATTATCGAGTTCGATCAAGCCAAATTTGAGGAGGCTATCTCCTCCGGATCCCTTAGCCCCAAGGCTATGCGCAAGATCCACAAAGTCTCCAAGGAGAATAAATCTCCAACTGTTGTTGGAGTGCCAAAGAAAGTCCTCTCTTTTGGCCACAATTTGTCGAACAGCCCCTCTTCCTCAGGAGCGAGCTTAGCCTCTGCTGAACTCGCACAGCGAGTTGAACATCCCACGTCCGCGTCAAAACGACGTGTTGCAGGCCCTACACGGCCTATGGAGGAGACAAGCCCCAAAAACCACAACGACGCTGCTGCCAAAGCCTTGAAACAGGCCAAGAAGAATGCTGCTCGTCGAAGAAGAAGGTCTCAGCGACGAGCACAACTTCGAATAAATCGATCCTCCAACCAACGCGAGATTCGCCCAACCAACGCGAGCTTCGCGTTCGTGAGCCTAAACGCGACCCTGAGCTTCGCGTTTATGAGCCCAAACATGAGCTTCGCGAGAACCAGACTGAACGCGGCCCTCAATGGCGCGTTTTACAGCCAAAACGCGGACCTCAAGCCTTCGTTGAACGCGAACTTCAACTTCGCGTTTCCCAGTCAAAATACGACCATCGCGTCGACACTGAAGAACGCGACCTTTGCGTTGCCAAACCAAAATGCGGACCTCACGTTTCAAGTGCCAAACGCGACCTTCGCGTTTCAAGTGCCAAATGCGACCTTCGCGTTTCAAGTGCCAAACGCGACCTTCGCGTCTCAAGTGCCAAACGCGACCCTCGCGTCTCAAATGCCAAATCCAATATCGCG